AGACAGAAAGTAGAGCAGTGGTTGCCAGAGGCTAGGGGAGGGGAGAAAGAAGAATTATCGTTCAACGGCACAGAGTTTCAAGTTCGCAAGATAAAGTTCTGGAGGTGGATGGTGGTGACAGTTGCACAACAGTGTATATATACTTACTGTCACTGAGCTGTATATAAAAAATAGTTAAACTGTAATTTTATGTTATGCATATTTACCACAGTTTTTTCATAGTAGTTTTAAAGACTTTGGGGAAAAGAGCAAAAGATGACACAGGCTTCCCTGTTGCACAGTGACATCGGGGCGCCATTTACACAGACCACACTGTGAAGGAGTCTCCCTAGAGCTGGCAGCCCTGGCAGCCCTGGCAGCCCTGAAACCCCGACTCTCCAACCCACAGAGACACTGCTGATCAACACAGGCCCTGCTCATCCAGCACCGGACTCAAATCCTCCACACTAGACCCAGACTACCCCTGCCACTTCCTCAGAGCCTATTCATGAGATGCCACGTATCTGCCATCACTAGCTCAATGACATCCTTGAAATGCCCGCAAAGAGCTGGGGACACAGATAGAGCAGACCTGGTCATTCCTTTATTGGAAGGGGTATGCTTTGTTGAACTCTACAAGCTTGCGAGCCCAAAGAGATTTCAAGTTGAAGATTCAGGTGGTTTTCTTTGAGGCTGTAATGGCCCTGAATAAAGCCCCGGGTGTGGCAGCTATGCCAGCGCCAATAGACCTGGATGATGCGGACAGCGTGGAGCAAACGGCAGTAACGGAGGCGGACGCACCACATGCGGACCCAGGACTGCAGTTGCACAGCTGCCCATTCTTGCCGCGCATACAGTTCTAGGGACGCCCGCCGCCTCTTCTCCAGCAGTTTCGCCAGCTTCTGTTTCCACCAGCACTGAATAATCCACGCCCTGAGCGCCGCGTGCAGCAGCGTCCGGCGCACCAGGGTGCCCCGCCACCAGGCCTGGATAAACACGGCCGCTTTGTCTTCTCCCAGCATCATGATCCTTACTTTGGGGCCTTGCAAGAGAAAACAGGGGACCGTTGGGAAACCCGTATGTTGCGGCCCCACGTCTGCCAGGAAGGGGCCCCGATCCTCTAACAACAATCACCCCTTTCTCTGACGGTCAGCAGAGCTGTGATGGGCAGCGGCTGGACCTTGGAGGTAAGAGATATCTTGCTTCTGCCACTCTCTGATTAACCGACACGGACACATCATCTTACCCTCTGAGTCTCAGGGTCTCCAGCTGTAAAATGGAGGTAACCTGCACTTGCTACCTCACCGGCTTTACGTGGAACTGGCTGACCATCTAGACAAGAACACTCTGATCTAGAGGGGAAACAGAGACAACTTTAACCTGGGCCTCAGCACAAGCCTGAGATCCACGTCTCTACCCTTCAGACCCCTCTCATCTGCTGACAAAGTGGCATCCTTGTTCCCCTGCCCCCTCACCTCTGACTTCAAGTTAAAACTGCAACCTACTATCTCTCCTCTGCCTCACCAAAATACTGAGATTCCTCCACCTCACATGCTCTGTTAAGAGCTTAACACAATTAACACACACATCAGTACACAGACACGTGCACACACATGCACACACACAGACACGATCCACTCTTCCTTGACCTTTGCATCCCCCAAACACAGTCCCCACTTTGAGCTCTCAGCCCTGCATGGTCTGGGCTCACGCTCCTTGCCCTCGTCCTTGGCACAATCTGCACACCTTGGTTAGACTCGCATCTCTCAGCCTAAGGAGGAAACAGGGGGAAAGAGCAGCCAAGGAGGAGTCGATCCCTGCTCATTTCCTGCTCTGTGACGGTGGCCATTCATCCCACTTTGCCTGGCACATGCTGGGTTTATGCCTGTTGTCCTGGTGTAATGTTGATAAGTGCCCTTTCACTCACTGAAGCATCTCTCTTTGGACAACAAATTACACGCTCACAGACCTTTGGGTCACTCCACTAGACCACGAGGGTCAGAGGGTCAGAGCTGTCACAAGTCAAGGCTGTCCCCAACAGTACAGCCTGGCTCCATCGACCCACGGAGCAGAGGGAGGGAAGTGGCAGAGGTGTGGGTAGGCTGTTGCGGGTGGGGTCCCTTCCTCTTCTCTCCTTTGCTCCTTAAGCTCTGTTCTATCAATGCGATTTCATGGTTATCATTGACTATACTTTGGAAGGTTTTCTGTCCTTATCAGAGACAAAAACATGGAAGTAAGGGTGCTTTCCCCAGCACTAGGTGCCGAGGTGCCAAGTCAACCACACACTAGGCTTCCTGGACTTTCGTAGGATCTCCAACATGGCGAAGGGATCCCCTCCAGAGGTAACTCTGGGACATGTACTGCCCTCCAGAAAGTCTGGGGAAATCAGACTGTCTCTTACAAAACATCAAATGCCCATGCCTTGGGGTGGATGTCAAATGCCCTCAGGTCTGAGCTCTACCAAATTACCCACGGTTAGGATGGTTAAGGGCTAGATGTTCCCATCGCTTCCAGGTCTGTCCTCCTTCCAGCCACAGCT